TTCACTATGATCCTACCGTCCAAATTTCTTGCTCCACCTGGTACTCTTTGCCCGACCTTTATTTGCAATGGTTTGATTTCTCCTGTTAAGTGCTCAACAGTGATCGTAGCACAACCATGATAAACCTCACAATCTACGGGGACAGACTAACAAAAAAACAGCCTTCATTACGATACTCAAATTCATCATCTAGAAACAATTGAACTATTCAGGAAAAGAAAGAAAATAAATAATAATAGAACTATATAGGATCCTTATACGAATCAGCAGAATTCTTATGAATTTTACTAGAGCACAATTGTTTTTAAATAGTTAGGATATATCCTTTGTTATTTTTCTTATGGAAGGATTGTTGAGTGTTCTGTATTTGACATGATGAACTATCACGCTTACGTATCATTAGTAAAGAAAATTTGTCGTTTAATGAGTATATGAGGAACAGAACATCAGTCTCATGAGAGGATAAGCATTATATGTATGATGAATCGAATCCAATACTGACATCAAGGTTAAGTGAGCTGGAAACCTATTAATCACCGTGTATCTAAGATGGATTATAATTTCCTCATCACATTCCAAGGATAATAAACAAACAAGGCGAAAAGAATATAAAATAAAATATGTTTGTCACTCAGTCCTAGCCCCGTTTAGTTGTAGATTCTGTTGTGATGGAAAAAAAATTACGCAAGGAATATTCTCTCGCAGAGTACTCGAAGTACATGATTAAAAGAAGGGACTATTTGTCTTAATAGTTAATATCTCAAATCAGCTGTTTGTTCACTCTCCTTTAACTATAACATTGTTGGGTTTTCACTAATTAGATATGGAAAGATTACAAAATTCCCTAGGAACTATTGTGATGGATGACATGCGTCAAAGTGTAACTAGATTGTACACATAAGTTTAAATAATTTATGGCTAACAATTGTCAATCATCGGTGTCCTTATTAGTCTCTGGATCAAGGTCTGCATTGTCATCTGACAAAACATCTTAACATGAGGTGAAAGTATTCTATGACATACCTCACCAGCTCCCACCATGATATATGAGCCCACTTCAATATCACGCACGGGCACCTTTCGATGCTCCAGATCTGAAGTATCAGGAAGGTTATCATCATTCATATCCAGAACAAGGGCAAAATCTGGATGACTTTCCTTCAACTCTTTAACGTCAGTCATTGATTGCTTTGTGAAATACTCTTCAGCTGCAATCACAATGAAAATGAGATTCTTTCAAGTAGATCTTGATATAAATTGTCAGCAATTTTGTTTCCTCGTAACTGCTTACCAATATGAGCCAGATTAAACATCACAAGAAGTAGTCCTCCCTCCAAGGGGTTCCCCATAAATATTGATGCAAAGGCGGCAAGGGCCATTAGTACATGGATGTTTACTTTCCCACCACTTATATCAGTAAGAGCATCAAGAGAAGCAGAGACCTGATACAGTGGCATTATAATTAGATTTATTGGCACATTACTAACTTAAAAAATTATAATGATGAAAATACTCAAACAGTCTGCAGTAATTATCTTCAAATACTAAATAAAATTATGGTCCACTAAATGCATTTCACCAAATAACTAAAATTTCTGATAGGCTGCCAGCAAAGAAGAACCGAGTAAAATTTTACAATTAAGAGGAAAAGAGGACGTTCGTGTCAAGGGTCTGCCTGTCAACTAGAGAAGCCATAATATACCTGATGGTGAGACACAGAAAGGCCAGATTAATATCTCTACTTGAGATATGGATTATTTTTATATTTCCAGAATCTTGAAAGAGAAAATCTTATCTTGCTTAATCAAGACAATGCAACATAATACTGACAATTTAGCAATAGTTAAATATGCATCCCAACTGCAGTAAAGGAAAGCCCTCAAATCTCAGAGATAGATCGAAAGAAACCTTCACATCAATATGATAACTAAGATCATCAACTTTCTCGAATGATGAAACAGCATATCACATTGTTCGAGGAACCCTAGATGCTGTCAGAGTAAAGGATTGTCAACAATGGCATTCTAGTGCGTGAACCCTCTACAACAAGAGTTATGTATGATTCGGTTGCAGGAATCAAATAGGATTTAGCATGCAGAATTGCTACTAATCTCATTAGTTTAAACTACTAGATTTCAAATAAGTCATTCAAGTTACAAAAAATTATTATAATTAAGGACTTTTGTGTAACGAGCATTAACACAATGACAATGAAAAATCCAAACTAAGAATCACCTCCATTAGACCGTGTTAAAATACTGTTAATCTTACAAGTAAGATGATTCTTTTACATCAAAAGGCATAATATATTGAACAGTCACCAAGATCAATCTACTACAATTAAGAAAATTCATAATCGATTTGCATTTAATCAAATTAATGGCAGTCAAGCCGCAGTAACCACATATCAAAAGGTGGGTTGTGAACCATTCGTACCCCGACTAAAGGGAAAGCAACAGCAATGAAAACATTCTGTAGAGGCTTCACAGCAGGTTTAGGCACCAAATAAGGACATGCAGCCGCAGTGATAAACAAAGCAGCAGAACCGCAACACAAGTGTAGATGCTCCCTCAAATAATTCGCCAAGTCCGTCCACCTAATAGCTTCGGCAAATCCAACAAACGCCTTCTGAGCTCCAGTCAACTCTACTCCATCACCGTCACCACCGCAATGGTGCTGACAGCTATGGTGGTGGTGGTGGTGGTGGTGGCCGTGCCGGTGATCGGAGGCATCGGCAGCGCAACGGAAGCGCTTGAGCCGAATTGCAGAAGAACGCAGGGAGAAGCAGGAAACTGGTCCGATCCTGGATCGAGCTCCGGCGTTGGTGGTGCGGGTGAGTAAAGAATGAATAGGTTTGGAGAAGGTGATGGGGATAAAGAGAGTGTCCATAATAGGCAGTGAAATGCTATGAACAGTGAATTGGAGCCATAATCTGTGAAGGAGATGAATGAATCGTGATTACCAGAGTGTGGATAATGCCGGAATTTGACGGCGGCGTGATTGTGGTCGCATTTTGAGTAGTGCAGCTTGGTTTGTGAGGTTGAGGATGATCGTTGATTCCGTCAGAGCAGTGCGTGCAGTTAAATTGGGCATTTTTCATGGCTGTATCATAATTGTGGTGGGCGATACATCGAAACCAATCATTTTGGTTCATGCTTGAGTTCGAACCTTAAAACTGCTTACAAAAATCCTTTTTTAACAACTTTTTTCTTAAATTGTTCTTGTGAATTCCCTTAGTAGATATGCATTTTGTAAGTAAATAAAATTAAAAAAAATATGCATAGAGACGAACTAGAAATTAATTTTAAACTTCAAAAACTTGTTAACATCAATTTGAAAAACACGCCCCTTTCGAAACCATCGAAACCTAAATGACCAAATGAAACTAGGGGTGTATATGAGTTGAGATTGAGTTGGGTTCGGTTCGAAAAATCTTTTGGACAAGATAGAATTCTTCCTTCTCCTCGGTACATGTTATATTAATAACTAACATCCTATAGGGTTCAAATATCAAACATTTACCAATCACAACACATCAAAAATATCAGTCACACACTTTAAATATTCTTAATATTTTGATAAGTAACGTGGGTTGGGTTGTAACCCTAGTTTAAGGTTGGTCGAGTAAACCCAACCAACAAAATGTCAACGGGCAAATCAAATCGAAATTTTGGTTTTCCTATTATTTTTTTCTTCTTCTTCTTAATATATATATATATATATATATATATATATATATATATATATATATTTTCTAAATGAACTTTGTGAATATTTATGAATTTTCTACGTATATTAGAATATATGTAGTGACAGCGGTAACTTAGTTTTTTCACATAATGATTTAAGTGTCTCCTTTAAGGTTTTCTGGAGAGAGTTAAGGTTTTACATGAGTACATCTTTAGTGGATTTAGTAAGATACTAAAAACGAGAAAACAACTTTTCTGAATGACATAATGATCCTTGTCTCAACGACGAAAACAAGTGTCAATGTACACCTATGGAAAATGACTCGATAATAGCTCGAAAATGAAAGTGTTTAAGTTTGGTTTTTTAATAAACATATGTGTCAAATTCATCAAATTTTAACGTTCCTTACAGTTTCGTTGAAAAACATCAGAAGTAGCTTAGTTTTTTCACATAATGATTTAAGTGTCTCCATTAGGGTCTTATCGAGAGAGTTCATTGATCCTTATTCATAATTACTATTGGATCAAAATTTATTTTATCGTAATGAAAAATTTGTTTATGACTTGACCTTAAACGAAGTCTCTTCTAAGCAAATGAGGGAGGAGCTCATTACCGAACTACTCATCTACTTGCTGTTATATGGAAGAATGAATTCTATCTCCAGAAATTACCTAACTCCTTGAATAAGTCTTCAAAGTGATAGACTTATTAAATCGACTATAAAAGTCACTCACTAATACAAATAAAAAAACAAGTCCTATAGGCAATAATTTATAATTCAAATGAGATTAAGATCGAGTCACTAATGATTATCTTGTGAAATATTAATCCTTTCAATTCATAAATTTATGAAGAGAGATTAAATATTTTGTAGTCCAATCTTACATAAACTCAATCACATATCTTCGTACCCACGACCCTTAAGTTATTTATTGAACATGATCCTCTCATATGTTAATTACAAATTATTTTGGATTCCACATACGATAGAGATTCATAATATGATTTTTGGATAGTTGAGAATCAAAAAGTGAGCTACTTATAGAGTATTTTTATACTCATTCGTGCTACTTTTTTTTTTCAAATGATACATGAGCTTACCCGGTATTGGAAGATTGTTACCGGAGAATTGAGACTATGGAGTTGAAATATATCAACGGCTTTTGTAGATTCTAGAACTCTTAGATTATGTGAATTCTACGTTGCAAAACCATTTTACGAGCTTTATATATAGTAAAATCTAAATATTTTATGGGATCCCTAACATTATTTAATAACATGCACTATTTGAGTTTTATGAAAAATATGAGTTGTTTCATATTAATAAAATCGCTCTTTATTCACTGGGTTTAAGCGACCATTGTCTAAGTATCAAAAAGCTGGAATTAACAACATCCATGATGGCCACCGCCGCCAGGGCTGGGCCAAATGCTTTGACATTAGCAAGAGTATTGGCATCGACAGCAAGGTTGTGGCCAACGTTGGTTCTCGAGGTGTAGTCCTTGATGTCACCAAGAGTATTGGCATCATTGAAGTTGTGACCCTCAATAACGTTCAAAGTAGACGGCTTCGTAGTTCCAATGAATGGTATGGGCAAGAAATCGTCGATAGTTGCTGCATTCATCGCATCGAGAGACCTTACTTCTACCGGTTCAAGCAAATTTCCATTGCTTAGCAACGACAAAATCAAAATCAAGCTCAAAGTCTTCATCATTGTAATACCAATCGAAATATGTAGCAAGAGAGAAGAACCAAGTTGTTGTATGATATGAAAAAACTCATACTTTTGAAAGATAAAATCTCATCCATCACAATCTTTTATCTTAAGCTAAAAAATTTACTACACTATCATCGCTATAGAAGTATCTTATATTTACGTGAAAAATAAGAGTAGGATGTGACTTAAGCATTTATGATATGCATATGAACTCATACACTATGATGATGATCACCATCATCCTGCTTCGCATGACCCTCAGGGGTCTACTAACGTCCGGACATCGTTACGGACAACTAGCTCGATTGTGATGGGTCTATGGGGTGCAAACCGCCTTGGGATCTATGCTCGCACGCGTGAATTGTGGGTAGGGAAATACTACACATCCAATTTTTCTCGGATTGGGACCACCCCTATGATGGTTTTAACGATAGGTCACTATATCACGAGTAGCATGTGTGTGCATTTCCTGACCCCAATAGTGGGGTCACTGAGTATTTCTTAAAAGACTCAAGTCGTGTTCTATTTCTATTTAAGGTAAAGGCAAGGCATCCCGGTACCGTTGACGGCAACATCACAAGTAGAGATCATGATACGTGCATAGAATAGTTGTATTCATTTTCTTAGACTTAGGATTATATAAAGTGTTTTTAGCTTTTGTTATGTCCCACATTCGTTTGGGAGGAGAACAAAATCCAAAAGGGGAAGTCTAAATAGGATAATATATGCTAGCAATGGGCTTGGGCCGTTACAAATGGTATCAGAGCCAGGTTCCAGACGATATGTTACCCTTCTCGATGGGCTCCAAAAGGGGTAGACACGAGGCATAAGAACGCTAACTCCAAAGAAGGTGAATTTGGTGGGGTAGTAGTATTAATCTTTTCAATCAACAAATTTATAAATAAAGACTAAATATTTTGTAATCAATCTTACAAACTCATTACAAACTCATTGTATTGGATACACTCAATCATATATCTCCAAGCAAACGATTTGGATCAAATGATTTATAACAATTATAAAATGGATCATATCAATTGTGTTACCATACGTTAATGACATATTATTCATCCTTCCCCATATTACAAAGGTTCATAATATGATTTTTGGAGGTTGAGAACGTTATAATATAATATTAATAATATAGGTTGTTTCCTATTAATAAAATTACTACTTATTCACTGTGTTTATAAGCGACCATTGTGTAAGCATTAAAAAGCTGGATCATTAACAACATTGATGATGGCCACCACCGCCAGAGATGGTGCCAGATTCTTTGACATTACCAAGAGTACCGGCATCGACAACTAAGTTATGGCCAACGTTGGAACTCGAGCTGGAGTCCTTGATACCGCCAAGAGCGTTGGCATCACTGAAGTTGTGACCCTCACCAAGGCTCAAACTAGACTGCTTGATAGCTCCAATAGATGATTCGGGCAAGAAATCTTGTGTATCTGGTTTAGAAAAAGCCCAATAATGAGAGTTTGGGCAATATTTGTGGGCGCTAAGTAGAAGAAGCTTGCGTTGGTTCTGGTTTCTTCATGTACCACGTTTTTCATTCCTACAAAATAGTAATAAGGGAGTGATCTAGGCACCATTTTTATAACATTCAACATAAAATGCAAATTGTGAAACCTTAAAACTCTCAGTTCAGGACAGACATTTCAACCTTAAAAACAAGCGTCCAAACCCACAAATGAAACACAGTTAGTTACCTTAATTGTCTTTAAATGGTCGTGTGGCATTGACAAGCTTAGCCGCCTTTGTTTTTGGGTCCACCTCAACTTGAAGACCAAGTTCAGCAATCTCAGGCATATTTACAGGCCCTTGAACCTCCAATTCAGCTACAAGTTTTTTGTTTTCCAGGTTCCCTTCCAGTAAGTTCCTCACAGCCCAGATGCCCCATTCCCTCAAAAATGGATTGTTTTCATCAACAACACACTGCTGCAATAGCACAAACACTCCATTCTTCTTTCGAATGTCGTCCTGTACGTGTTTCTTTCTGTATAAGCAATTTGCAATGACAGCAACGATATCTCTTCGAAACCCTTTATATGGACATGGACACGACTTCGACGTGTTTGGAAGATCTGTTCTATTCTCGTTCTCTGCTTGTTGAATTGCCTTCTTAACGATGGCTGGTGGTTCGATATCTCGAAGTATGCCCAAAAGCAAATCTATAAGTCCGAGACAGAGAAGCACATCAACTGCATCCTCGGAGACATCTTTACGTCCTCCTTCCTTACCATCGTCCTGCGCACAAATATCTCGTAAAATATTGAGCGAGTAGCCAAGAACGTCGACTGCAGTCCTGCCTGTTGGGAGACTGCGCTCGCATATCGGTGTGGAACTGATAATAGGAATGGAGCTTTGAAATATTCTATGTATACACGACGCAAAATCCTTGGGAATAGAGATATCTCCAATTCGCTCGTTCAATATCTCCGATATGATTGTCAAAAGAAACGCCTGTTCGGATGAAAAGGACATGTCTTTGCCGCCATCTTTAGAAGAATCGATAGGGTGTAATGCAGAGAAAAGTCGAGTAAAATTAGGTTCCTCCAAGCAGATTCTTGAAAGAAGTAACTTCACCCAATCTTCCTTAAAACCAACTGAAAAAACATCAAAAAGGAGTGTTAAAACACGACATTTCAAAGAAATATAAGAGTTAGAAAATCTACGGGAGTTTACCTAAAGATGTTGTCCTTGTAATCTCTTCAATTATAGGCAACCCGACATCACTGCAGAGTGATGCGACCAGTTCGGAGTTTGTACTACATAAATTGTAGAGAATCATACTCAAAGGATCCGAAATCTCACAGTAACGAATACGAGCAAGTGAAACAAACTTGTCGGGGAACAATCCACACCAAATTGCTTGTTGGTGTTCTTCTCCAGCCAATGAAACATTTGCTAGAACCTGTAGTCCTAGTCTAATGATCACACGATCGGGATCAAACAAAAGCATAGCATTTTGCAAAATGCTCGAAACGACTCCGACTCCATTTTGTTCAATAAAAACATTCTGGTTTCTAATTTCTCCGGCACATAGGTTTCTAAGGAGCCTTAAGGATGACAATTGAAGAGCATTATTAGAAATGTAATCGAGACACTGAATCAGCTCGAGCACACAAGGAAGGATATTCTGAGAAGTGAAATTAGATCGACCCTCGACACTTTTGGAAGCTTCAATAAGGGTTTCTAAGGATGTTTCTAGAGTGCAAGAGTTTGATGCACTGAACAATGGTTGAGTAATTCTTTCAGGTATAGACTGCTCAAATGATGCTGAGTTCTTCATTTGTCGACAAAACTACTTAGTAAGCCACAAACAAGGCTGCTTCTGAATGGCGAAGGTTGAAATATTTATGTAAGAATCTGAAATTCAAGTATAGGCATCAATAAGAATGTCTCATAACCTAGGGACTTCAATCTAACAAAATTAAAAACCAAAATCATAGTTACAATAGGGTCAAGTGACTGATGCCTACAACGAGACATAAAACTTCACCAACTCCCGCACTTCGTCACAAAACCGTTTAACCTCTCTAAAAATTCTACTATTCATCTCAAGTCAGTCGAACCCCCCACGACCCCGCAAAAAAATAGCATGCTACAAAACAGTGCCCTTCTCACAAACCACCGCGAAACAGTCCCTAGGCTAAACCAAGCATAAATTGAAAGAATCCAACCAACTGGACCAAAGGGATGGAACAAACGAACAACCCCACAAATGTCCTAAAGCCTATAAAGAATGCACCACTGTAGAAATAACATAGAGGAACGTCTCTAGACGTAGCTCAAAGTGTAGATTCTCCCATACAAAACCACCACACAAAAAAGTTTACTTTCTAGAGAGGGTGTGAGATCCCACATCGGTTGAGGAGGAGAACGAAACATTCTTTATAAGGATGTGGAAACCTCTCCCTGGCAAACGTGTTTTAAAAACCTTGAGGGAAAACTCGGAAGGGAAAGTTCAAAGAGAACAATATCTACTAACCAAAAAATTTTACCTTGGAATTTTCACCTTCTAGAGAGGGAGTGAGATCCCACAGCGGTTGGGGAGGAGAACAAAACATTCTTTATAAGAGTGTGGAAACCTCTTCCTAGCAGATACGTTTTAAAAAACCTTGAGGAAATGCTCGGAAGGAAAAGCCCAAAGAAGACAATATTTGCTAGCGGTGGGCTTGGGCCATTACAGAGGGGAGAAATAAGAAAGCATAGGCAGAAGGGGGCGGGAAGGGCATGACAACAACCTAAAGGAAGAATCATCCAAGGTCCAGAACCTAGCGTCCCTCCCCCTTCAAAGAACAAAATGCCCCTAAAGAATTGAAAGAAGACGCGACATCCAAAGCCTCTCTATCAAAGAGATGGTACAAAAAATCCAAGGAAAGCATAGAGGAAGACCGAAGTTTAGAAGAACAACAATTGATCCCAAAGATAGAACTCTTGACTTGCTTTTCAATCTATACCAACGATGGAACTCTCGACTTGTTTTTTAACCTATGTGATTTCATAATTCAAAAAGACCTCTCTTTCGGAATTAGTCAACTCGGAACAGGTCAAGTGACCTACAGCATGGCCTACGCTTTTTGAGACTTCCTCTAAACACATCTATGTGCCCACAGCCTCTAAACTGTTAACCCTTACATGGCTTCAAAGAATGACAATAAAACATTGAGATTAACAAAGAGTTTTCTTGCTCCAAACAGAAAAATAGGATATCATGTGCAAGCTACATTATGGGACAAGAAGATGGGCTCAGACCCCAGCTTAAACCCTTGAACCACACACTTCTTCACTCAAAGTAGCACAAGCTTACTCAAAACATCCACGACAAGAATAAAGAGAAAGAGTTAGAGAAGGTCTCATTGCCTAAGCTCTAGAGAGACTTCAGGAAAATTTTCATAAACTGCTCATGTCAAAAATACGTTAAATATTCCTCTGCTTATACTAATATAAATTAAACAAGTTATTCTCTTACAGTACTGTCTTCCGCATGAATAACTAACTCACTGTCAATTTAAATTTCAAAATTTTCATCCCACGTCGGTTGGGGAGGAGAACAAAATATTCTTTATAAAGGTGTGAAAACCTCTCCCTAGCAGATGCATTTTAAAAACCTTGAGGGAAAAACCCAAAAGGGAAAGCCCAAAGAGAACAATATCTACTTGCGGTAGGCTTGGGCTATTACAGATGGTATTAGAGCCAGTCACTGAGCGATATGCCAGCGAGGAGGTTGAGCCCTGAAGGGGGATGGACACAAGGCGTTGTGCCAACAAGGACGCTGGGCTCCAAAAGGGTGGATTAGGGGGTCCCACATTGATTGGAGAAGGGAACGAGTGCCAACAAGAACATTGGACCCCAAGAAGGTGGATTGTGAGATCCCACATCGGTTGGAGAGGAGTACAAAACATTCTTTATAAGAGTGTGGAAACCTTTCCTTAGCAGAGGAGTTTTAAAAACCTTGAGGGGAGGCCAAGAGGACAATATCTACTGGGGTGGGTAGGCTTTGGGATGTTGTCCCATGTAATAAAAAACACTCAAAGTAAAATTCTACATAAAGAAACACGAATGTACCGGGGACGGAAGTAGTATTTATAAACTTGATTTTAGGAGCATAAAACCAAAAGTAAAATGGTTTCCAAAGGAAGCCTAACATTCCAAATGAACCAAATAAAATTGCAAACAGGAACACAAAGGAGGCCTAATATCAATTGGAAAAAAGTTACAGCCCTTCAAATTCTTAGGGGCCTGGGAGCGGACGAATTGAGAAGTAGAAAATTTTGGTTTCTTGACCAAATGGCTTTGGATTTCGGCGATATACTCAGCCTGATAACACCCTTACGAAGAAGGAGATCAAAAGTAAATTTGGCCATTCGAAAAACGTATGACTTTTCGCAAGTCGAAGAGTTTCGGGAGGAGAAATGAGATAATCCAAGAACCTTTTGGGGAGAATTCTCTAATACTCAATAACAACATCCAAATAATCATAGTCATATGGAACATCAAGAGAAGAACATACCTAGCCGGGGAAGTCTTGTTGTGTTGCCGAAGAGTTTGGAAGCTTGCTCTTGCAAGAGAATTTCCAATATATTGAAAAAGAAAGTGCAAGGGGTGTTCATGGGTAAAAAATTTAGACCAACCCAACCCCAAATTCTAAACCCTAAACTTCAACCGACCCAATTTTCTGAACCCAAACAAATTCAGTTCGAGTTTCAAATTCATCGAAGGAGTGGACTCAAACTCAAACAAGGAGTTAGATGTCCGTGACAAAAACAACTAAAACGGGAAAGAAGATGATATGAATGAAAAATTATCTAAAAGAATTACAGCAGAAGTAAGGCCAAATTTAAGTTATTAATGTTTTTAGACCGTCTAATATAAATAAAATAATATTAAAAATTAAATTATCGTTAGTTTTTTAAAATTAATTAATAGGTATTAATTTTAATAAGTTTTAGTTTAAACCCTAAAAAAAAATCAGTTATATGTTTTCATTAATTGATCTACGTGAATTCCAAAGGCTACAATAAAAAACAATAAAAAGAAGCAAATATACTGTTTTTGAGACGATGAATGTGCATAAATTTGTCCCGATTTTTCTTACTACAATAACGGTTCTTTCTTCGCTCTTGTTAATCATTTAGTTTGCTACTGATCTAAATTTTGTTTAAATTTGATGCAGATATAGAAGTAAAATTTGGACATTTAGTTCCATTAACTTGTGATACTTTTTGTTCAAATGCGAGTGAAGCGGAAGACGAGCAATGCAGAAATTTGTGCTTTCGAAGAAGATTTACGAATGGAGTATGCATTCCTAACCCAAATACTGTGGTATGTTGTTGTAGTCATGAAAGCGAGTGAGTTGCCCTCGTGTGGAACAAAGTTCTTACTCATGTGTCAAATAAGGGTTGGAATTTTGTTATAATATATTTCTATAAAATAAATTGGCACGAGTAATAAAAAAAAATTTGTTTCTTCTCTTTCTAATGCAATGCGTTGATCATAGTTGGATTTGTGCACAATGGATTTGAGTTCTATTAGCTAAATGAATCTCGATCCACCATTCGGAAGACTTGATTTGGTACTTGAAGAGTTAAGTCCTGCTCTCTCGCTTGCTCAAGAGACACTTTGTTTATGGTTAAGTCGTTAACAAATTTTCGTTAGGATATGAACTTTTGATCCACCTATAATGGTGAACGGTTCAGGAACCATAAATTTATTTGAAATGTTCAAATAGATATTAAATAAGATTTATATATTAAATGAAAAGTATATTCAATAGACACGTCGAATTTAGATCTGAATATAGAAAACCAAAGCAAATGCCAAGCCTCGTTTCGGAAGCCCCAACTTCGAAAACGCAGCCTAGCAGCCCCTCAGCCCATGGACACCCAGCCCACTGATGCAATGCTTCGATTTTTTTGCTCAAAATTTTTAAAACGTGTCTGTTAAGAAGAGACAGAGGTGTACATGGTCCAAGTTGGATTGTATTGAGGGATTTTTTTTTACCCAACTCAAGAGTTGAGATAGTTCGATTGGTAACCCAACTCAACCCAACCCGAAAATTTTCACAAGTCAACCAAACCCAACCCCTCTATTTTTAGGTTAGGTTGTTCCGTTGTCAATTTTTTTTAAGTTTTATTTATCCATAATTTATCATTATTGGGATACAATCTTAGATAATATATATTAAAAGTTCATAAACAAACACAAATTAATATATAATTATTCACATAAAAAAATCAATAAAAAATTAAAGATGGTTAAATATTGACATTTTTTAAAATTTCTTCAAATTTGATTAGAGTAGCCTAAATAAACACAAATCAATATATAATTATTCATGTAATCTTAAAATTTAAATTTGGTTAGAGTGAGCATAAATAAACACAAATCAATATATAATTATTCACATAAAAAAATCAATAAAAAAATTAAAGACGATTAAATACTGACATTTTAAAAAAAAAATTATTTAACTCAGGCCAACCCGAAGGTTTTATCCATGAATTCGAAATTGAATCGATTGACATTTTTTAAAAAGATTTATTTAACTCGGGCCAACTCGAAGGTTTTATCCATGAACTCGAAATTGAACCAATTCAGTCCTTAGAAAGGTCGTGTATATATTTTTATTTAACTCGGGTCAATCGAAGATTTTATCCATGAACCCAAAACCGAACCGATTTAGTTCGCGTTCAGAAAAATGAACCCAACCCTACTCGAAATGCTAATCCAACCCAACCCTAGTTCGGGTTGGGTTGGTCCAAATTGTCGGGTTGTTAGGTTGAATGTACATCCGTAGAGAGAGGTTTCCACACCCCTATAAAGGGTGTTTCGTTCTCCTCCCTAACCAACGTGGGATCTCACAAGATCGCTCTCATTCGAAGGTGATCTCGATCATTCACATACCCCTTTTTACTCATGCTTATTGATTGTTAATTAAAAAGTTTCAATACTAAGTTATTACATTTATAACTCAAATTGTGTACCCCACAACGTGGGGGAAGATGGTTGAATGACACACATCTCTAGGGAAAAGGGCAGGCAACAAATTCTAATATGCATCTCATCCATTCACATTCCCTAAAAACAATTGACCTCCACACTCAATCATACCCCTTTTTATTATTATTATCATTTAAAGAGGACATACGTACATATACCCACGAGACCGAGACGAAAAAGTCTTTCTCATAATTCATTTTACCCCCTATTTTATTTTTTACCCTTACAAAAGTCTCCATTCATTTTCGTGGAATCAAGGTTGAGCTTCCAAGTAGAGAACTTACGAGAATTGGAATTTTAAAAAATCTCTTTATATATATAAAAAATGAGACCGATAGGTGAAGGAGTGAAGCTACGAGACCGAGAACTTCCAAAATAAGCATGACGCAAGCCTCCGTCTATGTATCGACTATCAGGCCCATAACAACACTATAAACAAAAAAAGAGCTTGTGCCACTCATTGTGAACTTTTTGTTCAATTAGGCGTGGGAAGGTATTTCACGAAGTTGGACGGGCAACCGGAGTACTATTATTGAAGCTGGTTGGAGATAGGAAGTGGAATTTAGAAAAATCTATCTATCTATATATATATATATTAAGTTGGGCAGGAAATTGGGTAGGATGAGAATTGAAAATATAATCTCGTCTTTAGCCCATTTAACCACTCCGTTCAAGACAGATCCCTATAGGACTCCTATCTCACAAGTTAAATGAACCACTGTACGTACACAGTAACTTTAGTCACTAAATTAATATTTTAATTTATAACTAAATTAAAATAAAATTTTTTCTTAATTTTTTAAACTTTATTAAGTAATAGATCGTTAAATTTTGTTTAATAAATCTCTAAATTTTTAATTTAATATTAGGTTCGAATCCAAGAATAATTAATTAATAAGATGGGAAAGAGAAGAAAATATGCACATGAACTAATTTTGGATCTTGAAGCAAAGGTTTTCTTTTATTACTATTTTAATTTTTTTTAAAAAAAATTAATAAGTTGATGGATAGATCCCGTGCTAGATCTATCACTGAACCTATAAATTTATGGTTAAATTGTAATATTGTTATGATAGGATAAAATATCATAAATAATTCTAATGATTCAATAAAACTACCATAAATAATTATATGAATTATATGAATTAAATTGTTATTTTTTTTTTGAAATTATAAGAATTATATATTTTTATTTTTGAAAAAAACTTGTTAGTATGTTTTTTAAGCTAAATTAATAAAAATAATTATACTTTTATTTTAAAAATATATTTAAACTTTAAAAGTTTCAATAAATTAAAAACATCTAAAACAATAATATCCTTAAATAAATTTTTTTTATTAATACTTTAAAACTTTTAAAGAAAACTTCAAATTATCCCTACTTTTTTTTTAAATTTAAAAATATTCTTACGGTTTTCAAAAATACACATAAATTTTTAAAAGTAATATTAATACATTAGAATATTAAGAATATTATTAAAATTTTAAAATTTTAAAATATTTAAAAAAATGGAAATAATTTTTTTTATTAGTTTAGTTTATGAAATACAAAAATAAAACAAAAGATGAAAACATCGTTTTTTAAATTCTAAGGATTAAAACAAATATTTTAAAAATATAAAAAATAAAAGTTGAAAAACTAAATTATTTAAAGCGTGAGGAAAAAGAATTAAAAAATTAAAAAAAAAAATTATGAATTACCATGTGCAATTCATAAAAAAATATAGTACTTTATTACGTTAATTATTAAACTTTTTGATAAAAAAAGAAAAAAGAAAAAAGAAAAACAAAAAACAAAAAAGTTTGTAATAAATCTCCGCGTTCTTCTCCATCCTGTCCGGATTAAACCGAGGACACAAAAAGCATGCCACACTCCCATTGTAATTTAATCAATTCTGTACTAATTTTTGAAGCAACCCAAATGGCGGAAGGGTAGATTTTGATAGCAACCCGTAAACAAACGCCGGCTCTTCATCTAATCTGCTCCACGACTTTCTTCAAATTCAAACCCATTCAACTGAAATCTCATTTCAAGCCGATTAAATTAATCCCAAAATCATCTCTACTCTGTAATCATGCTTTATTAGTGTTTCCCCCTCATGCTTGCTTGTGACCCATTTCCACTTTTTTCTCTCAATCTTGCTTTAATTCCTCTTCTTCTTACTTCATTCTGGAGCAGAGATTAGTGGTTTGGATTTGGTTTCTTTATCACCGGCGGCTGGATGCGGCGGACGCTGCTGATCTGTTCGATCTTTGGTGTTTAGCTAATAGACAGCGTTAGAGGTTTGATTTCGTCTTTTGTGTTCTTGTTCTTTCATTTTTGGCTGCTGAAGTTGAGATAATGTAGCAGGGTTTGAGTTCTCTGATGGGTTTTTCTTTGTTTTCCTATTATCATTACCGTTTTATTCTTGATTTTGTTTATATTCCGCCATTTTTGCTCTTGGAAGCCTTGTGTACAGCATTTTCTTGACCTTTTTTGTGAGATTCTCTAAGAAGCTTTAATAGATCGATCGAGGATCTACTTTTTATTGTGATTTTGAGTTATGATGTGGTGTAGAATGATTTTTTTTGTCTGTGTTCTTAGTTGTTGAGTGGTAGGATCTAGCTCTTGGTGGTGATGATTCTTGTTTTGGCTTATATTTTTTGCATTTTTGATCTGTAGACTCTCAAGGAAGAAGCATTTTTAGTGTTTGATTATGGCTTCAAAGTCATTTAAGCTCACCCATTCAAATCTGTTATCAAATTCTAATGTGTCTGATGCACAAAGGCAACCATTGCCTCAGACCGTGACGTTTGCTCGGAGAACGTCCTCTGGTCGGTACGTTAACTATTCGAGGGATGATCTTGATAGTGAACTGGGGAGTGGTGAGTTTACAAACTACACAGTGCATATACCTCCAACACCTGACAATCAGCCCATGGATCCATCCATATCACAGAAGGTTGAAGAGCAATATGTCTCGAATTCGCTCTTTACGGGGGGATTTAATAGTATGACACGAGCTCATCTTATGGATAAGGTAATTGAATCTGAAGCAATCCATCCTCAAATGGCTGGCACGAAAGGATCTTCATGCGCAATACCGGGGTGTGATGCAAAGGTTATGAGTGATGAACGTGGTAATGACATTCTTCCTTGTGAGTGTGATTTCAAGATATGTCGAGATTGCTATGTCGATGCTGTTAAATCAGGGAATGGCATCTGCCCTGGCTGCAAGGAGCCGTACAAGAACACAGAAATGGATGAAATAGCCGTCGAACATGGGCGACCATTGCCACTTCCTCCCCCACGAACAATGTCGAAGAGTGAGAGAAGATTGTCGTTAATGAAGTCGGCAAAGTCCATGAGGGGAGTTGGAGATTTTGATCATAATAGGTGGCTTTTTGAAACAAAGGGTACTTATGGATATGGAAATGCTATATGGCCAAAGGATGGGGTTGCTGGAAATGGAAATGATAAAGACGAGGAGGTTGTCGAGCCGAAAGAGTTTATGAATAAACCATGGAGGCCATTGACACGAAAACTTCAAATTCGTGCTGCTGTTATCAGCCCGTATAGGTATGATCTCTGTTTCTTTACTGCTTGCTCTTTCATTCTAGATCTTACAGAAAATGTAATTTCACTCTCGATTCTGGAGTCGAGGCCAAAACTTTTGTATAAATTTTGAAATCAAATAATCTCCACGGTTCGAATATAGTAGAAAAGTTATGTGTGGTTTTGATATAGTCAGCTGATGGCCTGTGACAGTAGTTCAGGTAATGAGTAGTGCATCAGTCATCCATGGTTAGTGTAACGGCCCAAGTCCACTAGTAGATATTGTCCTCTTTGGGGGTTTTTAAAACGCATCTGCTGGGGAGGAGAACAAAGCAATCCACCCCTCTTCGGAGCCCAGTGTCCTCGCTGACACTTGTTCCCTTCTCCAATCGATGTGGGACTCCCCAATCCACCCCCTTCGGGCCCAGCGTCTTTGCTAGCTCACCACCTCATGTCACCCTCCCTTTGGGGCTCAGTCTCTTCGCTCGGTGTCTTCCTTTGATACCATTTATAATGGCCCAAGTCCACCACTAGCAAATATTGTCCTTTTTGGGCTTTCTCTTCCGGGCTTTCTTTCAAGGTTTTTTAAAATGCATTTGCTAGGGAGAGGTTTCCACACCCTTACAAAAATGTTTCGTTCTCCTCCTTAACCGATGTGGGATCTCACAATTAGACTTCTCATTTTAGTTCTCCTCCTTAACCGATGTGGGATCTCACAATTAGACTTCTCATTTTAGTTTTGATTCGCATTATGATTTGAAAGTTTGTTTTCGGTCCACAAGTAATTTGTTTATCTCGTTTTCTTTGTAATTTTTTTGTAACTTTCATGTTCATTGATCCATTCCCATGATGAGCGATTAACTTTTATTTTGCAATACCCTTCTTCACAGGCTTCTCATTCTTGTTCGTATGGTTGTTCTTGGATTTTTTTTGGCTTGGAGGATTCGGCATCCGAACACTGACGCATACTGGCTGTGGGCAATGTCAGTTGTTTGTGAAATATGGTTTGCTTTTTCTTGGCTTCTTGATCAATTGCCCAAGCTCTGCCCCGTTAACCGGGCCACAGATCTTAATGTACTGAAGGATAAGTTTGAAACACCTAGCCCTAGTAATCCTACTGGAAAATCTGATCTTCCAGGAATAGATGTCTTTGTTTCTACTGCAGACCCAGAGAAAGAACCCCCTCTTGTCACAGCAAACACTATCTTGTCGATTTTAGCTGCTGATTATCCTGTCGAAAAGCTTGCTTGCTATGTTTCGGATGACGGAGGTGCGCTTCTAACCTTTGAGGCCATGGCAGAAGCAGCAAGTTTTGCTAACACATGGGTTCCTTTCTGTCGAAAACATAATATTGAACCTAGAAATCCTGAGTCTTACTTCAATTTGAAGAGAGATCCATTCAAGAATAAAGTGCGATCGGATTTTGTTAAGGATCGCAGACGTGTGAAACGTGAGTATGATGAATTCAAGGTTCGGATAAATGGCCTTCCTGATTCTATTCGTCGTCGGTCTGATGCCTATCATGCAAGGGAGGAAATCAAAGCTATGAAGCATCAGAGGCAACATGTGGCTGATGACGAACCAGTGGAGAGTGTAAAGATCCCTAAAGCAACATGGATGGCCGATGGAACACATTGGCCTGGAACGTGGATGCAACCTTCTTCCGAGCACTCCAAGGGCGATCACGCTGGTATAATACAGGTACGTATTTCAGCTCATTGCAATATTATATTCCATCTGCTTGCTGATTGTTCCCTGATATTTTCGACGTTTGCTAATAATCGGTTATATGCAGGTGATGCTTAAACCTCCGAGTGATGAACCACTGCATGGAACTGCCGAAGAAACTAAACTAATTGATCTATCTGAGGTTGACATCCGTCTTCCTCTTCTTGTTTATGTTTCTCGTGAAAAACGTCCTGGATATGATCATAACAAGAAAGCAGGGGCCATGAATGCTCTAGTTCGAGCGTCAGCTATTATGTCGAATGGGCCATTTATCCTCAACCTTGATTGTGACCATTACATCTACAACTCCCAGGCAATGAGAGAAGGAATGTGTTTCATGATGGACCGTGGAGGGGATCGTATTTGTTATGTTCAGTTCCCACAAAGGTTTGAGGGCATTGATCCTTCAGATCGATATGCCAATCACAACACTGTGTTTTTCGATGTTAACATGCGAGCTCTCGATGGACTTCAAGGTCCAGTATATGTTGGAACAGGATGTCTCTTTAGAAGGATTGCCCTTTACGGTTTTGACCCACATCGATCAAAAGAGCGGCATGCTGGTTGCTGTAGCTGTTGCTTTGGTAAACGGGGTAAGCATACATCGATTGCGAGTAGCCCGGAAGAGCATCGAGGCCTGAGAATGGGCGACTCTGATGATGAAGAAATGGACATATCCTTGTTCCCAAAAAGATTTGGAAATTCTGCTTTTCTAGTTGATTCAATTCCAGTTGCAGAGTTTCAAGGACGCCCATTAGCCGATCACCCAGCTGTGAAATATGGACGCCCTCCTGGTGCTCTCACCATTCCTCGTGAGCTTCTCGACGCATCAACCGTTGCAGAGGCAATCAGTGTCATTTCTTGTTGGTATGAAGACAAGACCGAATGGGGACAACGAGTCGGGTGGATTTATGGATCTGTCACAGAAGATGTGGTCACTGGGTACAGAATGCATAATAGGGGATGGAAATCGATTTACTGTGTAACGAAACGTGATGCTTTTCGTGGAACTGCTCCTATCAATCTCACTGATAGGCTCCATCAAGTCCTCCGATGGGCTACTGGGTCGGTCGAGATTTTCTTCTCCAGAAATAACGCCCTTTTGGCTAGTCCAAGAATGAAAATTTTGCAAAAGATCGCCTATCTTAACGTCGGAATTTATCCGTTCACTTCCATTTTCCTAATCGTCTACTGTTTTCTCCCTGCACTGTCCCTGTTTTCTGGGCAGTTCATTGTTCAAACTCTCAATGTCACTTTCCTGACATACCTTTTAGTCATCACCATCACTCTATGCCTGCTTGCTGTTCTTGAAATCAAATGGTCTGGCATTGAATTAGAAGAATGGTGGAGAAATGAACAGTTTTGGTTGATTGGAGGCACCAGTGCTCATCTTGCTGCTGTGCTACAGGGTCTGCTAAAAGTCATTGCTGGGATTGAAATCTCTTTCACTTTGACATCGAAATCAGCTGGTGACGATGTCGACGACGAGTTCGCCGATCTCTACATTGTGAAATGGACGTCTCTCATGATTCCACCCATCACGATCATGATGGTTAACCTGATCGCCATCGCAGTTGGAGTCAGTCGAACAATCTACAGTACAATTCCACAGTGGAGCCGGTTGATAGGTGGTGTTTTCTTCAGTTTCTGGGTTCTGGCTCATCTCTACCCTTTCGCCAAAGGGCTAATGGGAAGACGAGGGAGGACACCGACCATTGTTTTCGTGTGGTCGGGACTTGTCGCCATCACCATATCTCTTCTCTGGGTAGCCATTAATCCCCCAAATGGTGCAAATGATATTGGAGGTTCATTCTCTTTCCCTTGAGAGCTGTTTGTTTTGATATCAATCAATCCAGCAATGTTCTTTAGTTCTTTTTCATGTGCTGTTTCTGATGGGTAGTTCTAAGTTTTTTGATAGCGTCTTGGATTTTGAGCAGCCTGTGATAGATTATTACGTCCATTTGATTCTTTTGTTCTCTGTTGATTTAGCCTCTGGATGACCATTTTGATCAAGTAAATGCTAGAGGACATGAATATAGCCTTGAATGATTAGGGTTACAATATAAGTTTGTTTCTTGAACGTCCCACGGTTGCATTTAGTAGGGTTGTGTTCAATAAGTTTACGAACTTCGAATTCTGTGTCTAATAGCTCTTCGGTGTTAGAGATTTATTAGACATAAAATTTAAAAACTTGGACTTGTTAGATATAACTTTGACAAGTGAGAGATTATACTCATAAGGGAAAAAAAATAGAATTTCTAATCGTCCTCTTTGTGCTTTTCCCTTTCAGACTTCTCTAAGGTTTTTAAAACGTGTCGTCTACTAGGAGAGAAGGAAAGGTTTCTATATCCTTATAAAGAATGTTTCGTTCTCCTTCCTAACTGACGTGGGATTTCACGTGTAAAGTTAAGAAATTAGAAATTTAGTTTGTAAAAGAAAGACACTAACTCTCCGCTAGGATTTGGTTTTTCCTATTTACATGCGCATTGCATCAACTCTAGTGAACGAGAGGTCGAATTTACTGAAGAAGGAAAGATTTGGTCGGGTGCTTGTGGGTCGGCTCTACATCACGTGCTTTGTTGGACCTTGGTTTCCTAAGAGGGGTCGAGTTGGGTTTCTCCGATGACTAGCTAGTAGCAACAGAAAATGAACTCGGGTGAGCTTTGCGTGATTCGCGTTTTCTAGTGATGCGAGTTTCTCATTCTCTTACAGAAACCCGTAACCATGTTGGAAACAGGTAAAGCCTTATAAAACACCATGGAACTCTGAGCAATGAGGGACGAGACAGCTCCCCTATGTTAAATTGACAATTGTCGTATAGTTTTATTTAATTAATTTGTTTATTTTTATCTACATGATGTCTTTGGGATATACATCATCAAACTTAATAAAATGTTGACTATATTTGCAATATAGTAATTTATTAAATAGAAATTTATTTATTAATTTTACTATGTACCAATTCTTATTTCAATATCTCAAAATTATTAGATATAGCATTTGGTATGAACACAAACACAAACAAAAACGAGTAGCGGTCAATTTGAACAAAAAGAAAATCCAAGAGAATAAATTTTTTATTTTAAAGTTTCAACTAAGAAACAGTCACAAATGGCATGTCTATATTACTCGATATTAACTATCATTTAAGAAAGTTTGTATTGGCAATGGTTTGGTGAGAATAGTTCAACTGAGTTGAACTATTTTATTATTAGCCTTTTTCGAGATGAAGTATTGATCAATTTTAACGGGTTTTGTCTTATCATGGTAAACTGAATTCTTTCCATCCAACTCACGTACGACTCTCTCAATCCACATGTCTTCACACGCTCTGTGAGAAAGAAATCCAAATTCTGTCCAAACACTATTTCTTGCAATTGCATATTGTTTTTTTCCTCCTTGTTACGAGATTATCCCATAGAAGAGCAATAACATGAGGTAGATATTTGATATGTAATATCACATGTCGGGTTTGCATCGAAATAAATTTCAACATTTCTCGAATCAGTTTTTATAAGAAATATTCTGTTCCCGGAAGTCTTCTTAATTTGGTTTACAACCTCCGTATGCTCTTTGTAGAGTTGTGCATAAATTGACTAACGATGCTGACATCAAGTCCAATATTTAAACGTGTTGGAGAAAGAAAAATGAGACATCATGATTTTACCCTTGAATTTGAGAGTTTGTGAAATAAAAAAGACTAGCTTTCAAAGAAAGACACACACATATTTTATGATTTTTTGTCATAATAAATAACTTAAAAAAATGTCTCCGAGAATTTACTTGTAAATGTGAGGGTTTAAGATCATGATGAGTAAACATAAGAAAACAAGTTACCTCGAGAAAACGTCTATCAACAGTCTTATTTTATGGAGGACAGCCTACATACGAACTAATTTGAGCAATATCACGAGATAAAAGAAATGGTCCAAAAGTTGAATTGTAATAGTCTCAAGTATTGTCGGTTCTGAAGCTTTGGATTTTACTTTGAAACCGAGCAGACATCATAGAAAGAAGTATCGAAAGATAGTTGATGCTACATATTTATCATCACGAGACATGTTCAGTTAGCATGTATGATCATCAATAAAGGTTACAAACCAACAACCTTTAGAAAGACCTCCAAATATCACTATAGATTAATGAAAACGGGTTTAAAGATTTGTCACGCACATTCGGATAAATATTTCTAACATACTTAGATGGTCGACAAATTTCACCCAAAAAAAGTCTCCATGCAAAAAAAAAAAAAAAAAAAAAAAAAAAAAAAAAAAAAAAAAAAAAAAAAAAAAAAAAAAAAAAAAAAAAAAAAAA